TTAAACCCTCCAGATATGTGACCACCCTTTCTTTTCATGTGTTTTTAGGGGGGTGCAGGCAGAATTGGGAACCCATGGAAGTCCATGCCTTTGTGAGCTCACACTTCCACCCTCGAGTCTAAAGCATTCTTAGTTTGGATCTGCACTGCCATATAATTTAGATTAACACAGGTAATTCACATTATCTTTGAATTGGATTAGATGAGCCTTCACTGCCAAATAATCTAATTCAAATCAGATAATCTGGATTTTTCATGGCAGCGTAGATACAGCCTGATTTGGCAGCTCTTCCCTACTTTTCTTTGTCTATTTAGCATCCCTCTCCAAATGTGAAAGCAAGGATGAGTGTGAGGAAATGACAGGATCCCCTTGGCCTGTTCTTTCCTTCTGGACAATTGGATGGATTTGACCAAGAAATAGGGGACAAGTAAGTTGGTACCACAAGCAGCAACCATTCTGGCTGTATATGAAGCTTGCAATTGAATCTTGGGTATTTATCTGTTTTCTCTTGTTTTTGAGTGGGAATGGTGCAATCCGCTGATGGGGAGATATTGGAAAAATAGATATTTATTTATGCATATATTGTATGTACATTACAAGCACTGAAATGTATAGAAAAAACAGGTGCTCTCTCTGTATTAGAAAGAATGCTGAAGGAGATCTGTGTCCAAGGCACAGTCAGGAGGGGAATGAACATTCAAGGAAGCGGGGAGATAAGCCCGTCCTAGCACCAACAGAGATAAGTAAGAAGTAAGGAGCCTATCCCGCTCCCTCCTGACAGGTCAAAGTAGGCCTCATAATGGATTGGTGTAAGCTGTAAGCTGCTCTTTAGAAATACAGAGACATGCCTCTTGCCTGTTGGAAGATAGAATTTGATATTTCTATGATGCTAAAGTGATGCAGTGAATGATGTCAATGTATGTAGAAGCATGTTTCTTTGTTTGCCTGCATTTGTAGAGGTATAAAAGGCACAGTCAATGCCTTTATCGGCACTGGTTGCTTTTGGACACAGCTCCACTCCAGGGTCCCAGCTGGAAATAAATGCTGCACTTTTCTTTCTCCAGAAAGGATCTCTCTTGGTATTATCTCTCCTATCATGCTGCTACATCACAATCCTTCACATACCTTGTACTGGTCATTGGGACTCAGTTTATTCCATGGTTCAGGATTGTTCTTCCTATCCCAGCTGAAAGTGAGGGAAAAGAACATTATTTCTACCATCCTAATTATATTTTAATTCGTGTTTTTTTTTCTTTCATCTTATTTTTTTTCAAAAACCTGTACCACTTTTCAAGAGGCACCGTAGAGCTCATATTGGGAGAAAGGCCAGATACAAATAAAATGATAAGTGATTGCTATAAATTGTAGTTAAATTTATAAATACTTTTAAAAAAATAAACATTGTAACATAAATAAATATTAAGGTGATGATAAAATAAAATAAGAATTAAACACGAACAAGATTTATATATCATGTCAAAAGCACATTGAGGGTACAGTTATAATGTATTTAAAAACACAAACAAAGTTAAAAACTTGGCAGTATACTAAATGTCCTTTGACCATAAACTGGCCACTTGGAGTGCTTCTGGTGATGAAAAGCCTCCCCGCCGGATCATAACACACCCAGGTGTTCCCTGGACAATATCTTTGTAGACTGCTGATTCTCTCACACCAGAGGTGACTTGCAGCATGCAACCCAAACAAACAAATGGACCTTTTCAGGATCAGCTATGACAACAATCTCAATCAATATCAAAGTCATGTCAGCTGCCAATGAAAAAGATAAATGAAATAGACAAATGCTCCCTAATTAACAAGTAGTTAATTAGGCAGATGCCACTGATTAGTAACCTGTCTCGTTTGACTCTTTCTTAAGCAGCTTTCCCCCCCTRGTGTCAGGAGTGACTTGAGAAACTGCATATGAGAGAATTGGCTGTCTGCAAGGACATTGCCCAGGGAATGCCTGGATGTTTTGATGTTTTACCATCCTTGTGGGAGGCTTCTCTCATGTCCCCACATGGGGAGCCAGAGCTGACTGATGGAGCTCATCTGTGCTCTTCCCGGATTCGAGCCTGCGACCTGTCTGCAGGTTTCGGTCAGCAAGTTCAACTGGTCTCTGTCCATTTTCCAAGGATTTATTGCTCTTTGTCTTCATGTTGTTTCRGATTTGTGCCGATCCTACAGCGAATATAGCACAGGATTTTCTTGGCAAGTTTTGTTCAGAAGAGCTTTGTCATTGCTTTCCTCTAAGGTTGAGGAAGTGTGACTTTCCCAAAGCCCACCAAGTGGGTCTCTATGACYTGTCCAAGGTTCTGTGGTCAGCATGACGGCATGAYGCGCTGTTACCTTTCTGCCAGAGCATTACCTATTGATCTACTCACATTTGCATGTTTTCAAACTGCTAGGTTGGCAGAAGCTGGGCCTAAAAGCGGGAGCTCACCCCACTCCCAGGATTCAAATCGCCAACCTTTCGGTCAGCAAGTTCAGCAGCTCAGCGGTTTAACCCACTGCACCACCAGCTTGTAATCAACAGCATAACTGCCAGCAGTGATATTGTTATATCATTAAAAGAAAAATAAAGGGTTAGCATTAAAATATTAAGAGAAATCTAGCCAACACATTTGTCATGTTAATCTTTAATAAAAGGTAACAATCTTCAAATGTTAAAAAAAAATCCCAAAAAATGGTCAAAGGCTCCTCTTTCTGTTTACCTCCTTCTAAATAATATATGACAGGTATATCATTACTCAAAAAATTAATGTGGCTGCTATTTAATAACTAAACTAATGTAGTTTAAATTGGTTGTTGAACATTATAATAAATGAAGAGTAACAAATTAAACATTTGCGAAATGAATGTCAACCTGTAGATCCTCTCTTACAGTGTGAATATTAAGGCTGAAATGTTCACAACTACATTTGGGGCATTGCCATTTCTAAAGTCAGATTTGTGTCCAACAACAACAAGAACAACAATTTATTATCTGCCTCTCCTGTGGTTCGTTAACTTAAGAGATAAAATCCCCTTGCATTTCCCAAATTTTCTCCCTCTTCTTTGCCAAAGCCCCGGCTCTGAAGCCCCTTTACACTGCCATATAAAATCCAGATTACCTGCTTTGAAATAGATTATATGGTAGTCTAGACTCATATAGGGGGGGCGCATTTGTGCAGTGGATTAAACTGCTGAGCTGCAGAACTTGCTGACCAAAAGGTCAGTGGTTCAAATCCAGGGAGTGGGATGGGCTTCCGGTGTTAGCTCCAGCTTCTGCCAACCTAGCAGTTAGAAAACATGCAAATGTGAGTAGATCAATACTTTCAGTGGGAAGGTAACAGCGCTCCAAGCAGTCATGCCGGCCACATGACCTAGGAGATATCTACGGACAACGCTGGCTCTTCGGTTTAGAAATGGAGATGAGCACCACCTCCCAGAGTCAGACATGACTAGACTTAATATCAAGAGGAAACCTTTACCTTTTCTGGCCTCATATTTATTTTTATTATTTATTTACAGTATATACCACTTTTCTCACCCCGAGGGGGACTCAAAGCAGTTTACACATAGATATTGGCAAAATTCAATGCCATACAACTACAATAATAAAACCACACATTAGACATAAATCATATTAACACAGTACATCACCAAATTATTTAAACCAAAATCAATCTCAACAGTGGAGTCGCCGTTCCAGTCCTTGTCCCACTAAAAGCTGCATAGATCTATTGTCTGAAGGCCTGGTCCCAGAACCAAGATTTTAATTTTTTCTAAAAGTCAGGAGCAAGGGAGCAGATCTTATCTCCTTTGGGAGTGTGTTCCATAGGTGAGGGGCCACAGCCGAGAAGGCCCTGCTCCTTGTCCCCGCCAGACGCATTTGTGCTGTTGACGGGAGCGAGAGCAGGGCCCCCCGGATGATCTTAAATTACGAGATGGGATGTAGGAGCAGATGCGTTCGGACAAGTAATCTGAGCCAGAACCATATAGAGCTTTATAGGTCAAAACCAGCACTTTGAATTGGGCTTGGAGATGGACCGGCAACCAGTGGAGGGGGTGGTCCCTGTATGCCGCCCCAGTTAGTAATCTGGCTGCCGCCCGTTGGACTAACTGAAGTTTCCAAACCATCTTCAAAGGCAACCTCACGTGGAGCGGGGATTATCTGCTTTGATCATCTGGATTATATGGCAGTGTAGAAGGGGCCAGTTTTCATGGATCATCTCTAGGCTGGATTTGAAAGTGCAAATTCTATATATGTGGTGATCTCAGAACCAAACAAGAACATGAGACAGTCTGTGTCTGTCTCATGTTCAGCAGTTAAAGCAGCATCTTGTTACACTTTCCAAGGCTTAATTAATTTCTTGTTGTATCTAAGATGCCTTTATTTAATTTGCTTCCTTGTTCACTTGTAGCCACTGTGCTGCCAGGACTCACCCTCCACTCTACTTGCATCCAATCTACTGCCAGCAAGTAGACAAGAATAAACATTCCTTATTCTCTAAGTAGGTAAGAAGTACTCTTATTTACCTTAATGTATAAACAGTTTCTCTGGCTCAGTTTTCTTGTCTTAATTTCTAGATAGGTAACATTGTTCCCTCTATGTATGTGTTTCAATGAGAAGCAGTGAGCAAAGGTGATTGGTCCTGAATGCAATGACATCACTGGCACTATATTTTGTTCTCAGAAACCTCAGGTCCTGGAATGCTGTGTCCAGATCTGGGCACCACAATTCAAGAGGGAGATTGACAAGCTGGAATATGTCCAAAGAGGGGCGACCAAAATGGTCAAAGGTTTGGAAACCAAGCCCAGTGAGAAATGGCTGAGAGAGCTGGGTATGTTTATAGCCTGGAGAAAAGAAAATTGAAAGGGGCACGATAGAAGTATTTACATATTGGAAAGGATGTCACTTGGGGGGAGGGCACAAGCTTGTTTTCTGCTAATTTGGGGACTAGGATACAAAGTGCAAGGGAAAAGGATCCTGTCTAAACATTAGGAAGAAATTTCCAACAAGAGCTGATCGACAGTAGGATAGTCAGTTATGGAATTCAGGGGAATCTCAGAGTAAAGCAGAGTTTCTCAACCTTCCTAATGCCACGACCCCTTAATACAGTTCCTCATGTTGTGGTGACCCCCAACCATAAAATTATTTTCGTTGCTCCTTCACAACTGTAATTTTGCTCTGATTATGAATTGTAACAGAAATATCTGATATGCAGGATATATTTTCATTCACGGGACCACATTTTGCACAAATACCCAATACGCCCAAATTTGAATACTGGTGGGGTTAGAGGGGATTGATTTTGTAGTTGTTGGGATTTATATTTCACCTACAATCAAAGAGCATTTTGAACTCCACCAATGATGAAAGTGAACCAAACTTGGCACTCCCATGACTAACAGAAACTACTGGAAGTGTTTGGTGGGCATTGACCTTGAGTTTTGGAGTTGTAGTTCATCTACATCCAGAGAGCACTGTGGACTCAAACAATGATGGATCTGGATCAAATTTGGCACAAATGCTCAATATGCCCAAATGTGAACACTGATGGAGTTCAGGGAAAATAGACATTGACATTTGGGAGTTGCAGTTGCTGGGATTTATAGTTCACCTACAATCAAAAAGCATTCTGAACCCCACCAATGATAGGATTGGCCCAAACTTCCGACACTGAACCCCCATGACCAACAGAAAAACTGTGTTTTCTGATGGTTTTTGGCGACCCCTCTGACACCCCTCGTGACTCCCCCCAGGGGTCCGCACCCCCAGGTTGGAGTAGAGGCTGGATGGTCAACTGTTGGGGAAGCTTTGATTGTGTTTTTCTTGCTGTATGGTCCTTGTGATCCCTCCCAACTCTATGATAGTTCTGAATTTGCAACCTTAACCCCCTGCCTTGATGAAAATGTGGAGACTCTTTCTCCGACAATGAAGAAACAGCAGTGCCTCCCTTTCCTGCTTCAATCCTATTGGGATCTTTGCAGCTCAGTAGCTGCTGACTGGCTCTTTGGCAAGTATCGCATGTGCTGTGAACATGATGATGGTTGTAAGCCACAAACTGCCAGGTCGTGTTAACAACCCTCTTCTGTCGGTTGTACTAACCACATAATCAATGCTGGTTTTGCTGTTGTTGGTTTCTTTTTAAAAAATCAAAATTGGCTTGCGAACTGTAAAAGTATTAACACTGAACAAGA